CTCCTCCTCCTCCTCAGTCTTTGTCTTCATCTTCTTTTTTAGATAGGGTCTCACTCTTTCACCCACAATGGAATGTGCCGGTGAGAACTGGGCTCACTGCAACCTCTGCCTCCCCGGCTCAAGCAAACCTCCCACCTCAGCCCCCAAGTAGCTGGGACTACTGGAGTGAGCCACCACCCCTGGCTAATTTTTGTATTTTTTGTAGAGACAGGATTTTACCATGTTACCCTGTATGGTCTCAATGTTGTGATCTCAAGCAATCTGTGTGCCTCAGCCTCCCAAAGTACTAGGATAACAGGTGTGAGCCACGGCACCTGACTTCTGTTTTCTTATATTGGTATACATGTCTGGCTTTATACCAGTGCCATACTTTTTATAAAATTATTGTAGCTTTTGGAACTGGAACAAGCAAGGATGTTCACTCTCACCACTCCTCTTCAACATAGTACTGGAAGTCCTAGCCAGAGCTATCAGACAAGTGAAAGAAATAAAGGACATCCAAATCAGTAAAGAGGAATTCAGATTCTCACTGTTTGCTGATGATATGATTGTTTACCTAGAAAACCCTAAAGACTCTTCCAGAAAGCTCCTAGAACTGATAAAAGAATTTACCAATGTTTCCTCATACAAAACTAGTGTATACAAAACAGTAGTTCTCCTACATACCAGCAGCGACCCAGCTAAGAATCAAATCAAGAGCTTAGCCCCTTTTACAATAGCTGCAAAAATAAAAATAAAATAAAATAAAGTAAAATAAAATACTTAGGAATACACCTAACCAAGGAAGTGAAAGACCTCTACAAGGAAAACTACAAAACACTTCTGAAAGAAATCATAGATGACACAAACAAATGAAAATATATACCATGCTCATGGATAGGCAGAATCAATATTGTGAAAATGACCATACTGCCACAAGCAATCTACAAATTCAATGCAATTCCCATCAAAATGCCACCATCATTCTTCACAGAAGTAGAAAAAACAATTACAAAATTCATATGGAACCAAAAAAAGGTCTGCATAGCCAAAGCAAGACTAAGCAAAAAGAACAAATCTGGAGGCTTTTGGTAAGTTTTAAAATCAGAAAGTATCAGTCTTTCATTTTTGTTCTTAAAAACAATAATGTATTCAAGACTGTTTGACTAATCAAGGTCCCTCGTAATTCCATATAAATTTTAGCATGGGTTTTTCTCTGTTTGAAAAAAAGATTTATCATGAGAATTTTCAGAGATTCCATTGAATCTTTAAGTAACTTTGGATATTATTGACATCTTAACAGTGTTAAGCCTTCCAATCTATACATACAGGATATATTTCCATTTATTTGTGTCTTCTTTAATTGCTATAATCAACATTTTGTCATTTTTCAGTGTATAAGCCTTTTACCTTCTTGGTTATGTTTATTCCTAAGTGTTTCATTTTTTTGATACTATTGTAAATAAAATCACGATCTCGTTTACAGATTGTTTATTGTTAGTGTATAGCCACTCAAAGCCTAGGCTCAGAACAGACACAGTTTTGCTTCTGACACATTCAATGAATCACAGCAAATTTTTAGTGTATAGAAGTCAATAGGTTTTGGCTGTTGTTGCATGCTGCAATTTTGCTAATTATTTGTAACAGTTTTTAGTGTGTAGAATCCTGTGGTTTTCTACATATATAGTTATGTCGTATGCAAATAGAAATTATCATGCTTCCTTCCTTTTAATTAAGGTAACTATTTTTCTTCTTTTGTTCTGTTGCTTTGGCTGAACTTCCAATAATATGTTGAATAGATGCAGTGAAAGTGGACATTTGTGTCTTGTTCCAAATCCTGCAGTACAAATTGTCATTCTATTATTATCATGAAGTTGTGGGTTAAATTCTTAACTGTGATAGATTTTTACATCACTTTAATGTTTTATTCAAGTAATGCATAGACATGGTGTCCACAGTCCACAGGCTAAAATATTGGACCCATAACAAAGTCTTCCTGATCCTAAAGATAAGGACTTCAAAATTTCTTACCGGTCTTGCCCTGTTTTCGCCCATGTATTTTCAAACGATATGCTTATCTGCTAATGCTTGATTTAAATATCCCAAATAGCAGCCCTTGACTCATGACACAGGCCGCTGTCAATAGTTACCTGCTCCCCCCAGCATCACTACCCCCACACTCATTACCCTTCTCCCACTTTGTCAACATAAATACATTCTAATTTACGTCTGCAGCAAGGGCTTGACAGCATCGTCTCATCTTATACCTGATGTAAATGACGAGTTGATGGGTGCTGACGAGTTGATGGGTGCAGCACACCAACATGGCACAAGTATACATATGTAACAAACCTGCCGTTGTGCACATGTACCCTAGAACTTAAAGTATAATTTAAAAAAAAGAATCTATTGATTAAATACAAAAAATATATACTCTTGTAAAACCTGATAGTAATACATATGTGCATGTATTTCTTCTGATTATTATTGCTGTTCCTCTCAAAAACTTAATATTTTATCTCTAGATAATTAAAATTTTTAGAAGTGTTTTCAAGGAGAAACAATTTTCGTGAAATTTTTTTTAGGAAAAGATTTCTCACTTTGTGATTTAACATGCCATTTGAGTATGGTGGCTAATATATTTCAGTTTGGAGAATTTTTTTTATAATATTGAGTTCATTATTATTTGCTATGTGCATTTCTGGGAATGCCTGTAAGTATATGTTGGTCCTGTTATATTAATTTTCTAATATTTCTCTCTCTTTAATTATCAAGCCTTTCAGTTTGTTTCCTTTTTTCCTTCTGACAGAATTTTCCCAATTTGTCTTTTGAATTCTTTTGATTTCATTTAAAATTTTATCAATTCTTATACTTTTAATTTCCACGAGTCATTTGTCATTACCTGTCACATCCTTTTATATAGATAATAATATTTATTTTGTGGATTTCATAACATATCATACATATCTTCCTTCCTAAAAATAGGAATTCTTATTTTTAAAAAATCATTCTTTTTGCAGGTTTCTGATAATTTTAACTCAGGGTATATATATGTGTGTATTGATGCTTAAGTGAGTATGCATCTTTGTGTGTGTGTGTATAGACGTGTGTTTGCACACTGTGTGGATCTTACTCTTTCACGTTGCTACACTTCCTTAAAGGTCTGCTGACCTTTGGTTCTAAAATAATATTTAAGCCTAAAGACTTCAGTTCTGTTAGGCATTCAGTGCAAAGTCGTCCACTGATGTCTTCTATCTGGAGGAGAATGCTCGAATCACCTACACCCAGAAAACTGTCAAGTTGCTGCTTCCTTTTTCCATTTAATTGAATGATCATTTCTCTAAATCCCTTCTTCTGAAGGATCATAAAGTAATTTATTGTCTTTGCTTCCCTAATGCTTAGATTACATTACACTTTATGAATCCTTCTAAATAATTGATAAATATTCTTATGATCCTTTCATAAGAATTGAAGAATCCACAAAGTCTATATAATCTAAGCATTAGGGAAGCAAAGATAGAGAATACACATCCTATTGGGGAGAGCGTGAGCAGAGACATGGAAGGTAAAATGAAGTTGGCATATAGATATTCAGATGGGGGTCTGCACTAACTTGAGAATTCTGAAATTGGATGAGAAGGCAAAAGAGAATGGATGGTGGTGGACATTACACCATGGAATACTATGCAGCCATCAAAAAGGATGAGTTTGTGTCCTTTGTAGGGACATGGATGCAGCTGGAAACCATCATTCTTAGCAAACTATCACAAGAACAGAAAACCAAACACCGCATGTTCTCACTCATAGGTGGGAACTGAACAATGAGATCACTTGGACTCAGGAAGGGGAACATCACACACCGGGGCATATCATGGGGAGGGGGGAGGGGGGAGGGATTGCATTGGGAGTTATACCTGATGTAAATGATGAGTTGATGGGTGCAGCACAGCAACATGGCACAAGTATACATATGTAACAAACCTGCACGTTATGCACATGTACCCTACAACTTAAAGTATAATAATAATAAATAAAAAAAAAAAGAAAAACGTAAAAAAAAAAAAAAAGAAATGAACTATATGAATTACATTTCATGAAAAAAGTACTTAAAATAAGGATGTATTCTACATGTCTAAATAGAAGAACCAAATAATGATGTTTAACTTAGTGAAAGTTTGACTTGGAATTATCATGCAAAGACCATTCAAGAAGGAAATATAACTTACTCCAAATGAGCCATAGACTGCTGCAGTTTTAAAAGTAAGTTTTAAAAAATAAATGTAGAAAAAAATCATCCTGAAAAAGTAGTGCTTAATTGTTCATAATATGGATTCATAACATATGCATGAAACTTACAGTTTTATGCATATGTTTTAAACATAACAAATTATCTTGATGACATCTGAGTTTGTGTTGGGCAGCAAACATTCATATCCTGTTGAAGTTGTAAGAGAAATTTTTTTCCTATGAATATATATATTTATTATTAAAAATTGTGGTTATAAATATTTGTCTCATAAAATATAATTTCTGGGTAAGAAAATAAGATTTTTTTCTAAATAGGAAAGATTAATCATTTACGAGTTGTAAAATTGTATAAATAATTCATAGTCTGACTAAACTAAGGATTTTTTAAAACCATTGGCTTACTCTTCTATAACTAGTCCCCCTTATCCACTGCTTCGCTTTTCATGGTTTCTCCTGCAATCAACTGTCATCTGAGATTGCATGGAAAATTCTACAAATGAGCACTTCATAAATTTTAAATTTGTTTTCAGTCATAGCCCAATGTTGCATCACTGTGCCTACATTGTTCCCTTCACTTTGTCTCATCATGTAGACATTTTATCTTCCCCGAAGCATTTTATCATCAGAAGAAAAGTGAACACTGTTCAATAAGATGTTTTGAGAGAAAGAAAAACTGCATCCACATAACTTTAATTACAGCATATAATTATAATTTTTCTATTTTATTTTTTGTTATTTTTGTTAATCTAGTCCTTGCCTAATTTATAAATTAAACTTTATAATATGCATTTATTGATACAAAAATAGTGTCTATAGGGTTCAGTGTAAACCCCAACTTCAGGCATCCACTGGAGGGCTTGAAATGCATCCCCGCAGATAAGGGGGAGCTACTGTACTTCACTAACCCTTGTGTCTCCCTTCAGGAAGGATCGTATGAATGCTCCATGGAAAATTACAATCAAACATCAACTGATTTCATCTTGTTAGGATTGTCCCCACCACCAAAAATTGGCCATTTCATCTTCATTCTCATTGATTTCGTTTTCCTAATGGCTTTAATTGGAAACCTATCCATGATTCTTCTCATCTTCTTGGACATGCATCTCCACACACCCATGTATTTCCTACTTAGTCAGCTGTCCCTCATTGACCTAAATTACATCTCCACCATTGTTCCAAAGATGGTTTATGATTTTCTGTATGGAAACAAATCTATCTCCTTCATTGGGTGTGGGATTCAGAGTTTCTTCTTCTTAACTTTAGCAGGTGCAGAAGCGCTGCTCCTGACATCAATGGCCTATGATCGTTATGTGGCCATTTGTTTTCCTCTCCACTATCCTGCCCGTATGAGCAAAAGAATGTGTGTGCTGATGATAACAGGATCTTGGATGATAGGCTCCGTCAACTCTTGTGCTCACACGGTATATGCTCTCCATATCCCATATTGCAAGTCCAGAGCCATCAATCATTTTTTCTGTGATGTTCCAGCTATGTTGACCCTAGCCTGTACAGACACCTGGATCTATGAGTGCACAGTGTTTTTGAGCACTACCATCTTTCTTGTGTTTCCCTTCATTTGTATTGCGTGTTCCTATGGCTGGATTCTCCTTGCTGTCTACCGCATGCACTCTGCGGAAGGGAGGAAGAAGGCCTATTCGACCTGCAGCACCCACCTCACTGTAGTGACTTTCTACTATGCACCCTTTGCTTATACCTATCTACGCCCAAGATCCCTGCGATCTCTGACAGAGGACAAGGTTCTGGCTGTCTTTTACACCATCCTCACCCCAATGCTCAACCCCATCATCTACAGCCTGAGAAACAAGGAGGTGATGGGGGCCCTAACACGAGTGATTCAGAAAATCTTTTCTGTGAAAACGTAGACATGCTTTCTGCCTTAGAGTCAAAGCTCTAGGTTCATATCAACTCAGCAGTGTACAGGAGTTAAGGAAAATATTATTACATGCCCATTGTGTCAAATGGAAATTAATCTAAAATATTTGTATTTTAATTTAGTCTTGACATTTCAATTGCATATTCTAAGACATCTATTTTGGTCTTGTATTTATTTCTTTTTATCAAAAGATAGATCATATATTCATTTTTTTCCTAAAGTCATGATTTATTAAATGTTTACCTCAGGATAAATAATTATGTCTGGGGAGCAGTCTACTTGGCTTTAGATAAACAAGAGTTCCCCTATAAGAGGTTCTATACCGTTACCTTCTATAGAACCTCTTAGACTGTAGCTGACTTAGACTCAGTTGGGTGTCAAGTAGGTTATTGAAAACATTCCCAGTCATATCACAACACACTCTACGTTTCCCTCCTGAGTAGCCACTGGTATTCTCATGCAAGACATTCTCTGCTGTACAATTTTATTTCTACTTACTCTTCTCATAAATCAATGGGTCTATTTAGCGTGAGTTGGGATCATCTCCTCTGCTCCACTATTTTTATACATGTTTAGGCATGTGCCTGAAAGGATCAACGTTATTTTCATAAAAGTTATCTGCTTAGGTCCTTTCTCTGAGTGAAAGGTCATGGCTCTCCAGAAGAGAGAAATTCTTTAATCTCTGAGGAGAGGAGGCAAGAAGGAAGGTCGAAGGAGCAAGTAAGAAAAGCCCCGAATTATCCAAGTGACAGCAGTGGTGAATGACTGACATGCAGTTGGTCCTTGAACAACACAGATTTGAACTGTGCAGGTCCACTTACATGTGGCTTTTTTTTCTGCCTCTGCCACTCCTGAGACAGCAAGACCAACCTCTCTTCTTCTTCCTCCTACTCAGCCTACTCAATATAAGGACAACATGGATGAAGATCTTTATGACAAACCACATTCACAAAATAAGTAGTAAATATATTTTCTCTTTCTGATGATTTTCTTAATAAGATTTTCCTTTTCTAGCTTACTCTACTGTAAGAATACAGTATATAATACATGTAAGATACCAAGTGTGAGTTAAATTAAGTATTTATGTTATTTTTTAAGGCTTCCTGTCAACAGTAGGCTATCATTAGTTATGTTATGGGGGGAGTTTGAAGTTATATGCAGATATGTTTTATTTCAACTTCTATTTTAGGTATGAGAGTACATGTGGATATTTTTACATGGGAATATTGCATGTTGCTTAGAGTGTGGATCCTGTCACCTGGTAGTGAACATAGTACCCAATTAGTAGTTTTTAATCCCACCCCCTCCCTCTAGCAGTGCACAGTGTCTATTGTCACCATATTTATGTCCATGTGTGGGCCAATGCTAAGTTCCCACTTACAAGTGAGAACATTCTGTATTTGGTTTGCTCTTCCTCAGTCAATTTGCTTAGGATTATGGCCCCTAGCTCTATCCATGTTGCTTGCAAACAGTGTGCTCTTATTGTTTTTTATAGTTGTGTAGTGTTTCATGGTATATGTGTAGCATATTTTCTTATTCCAATTCACTATTGATGGGCACCTCGGTTGATTGTAGGTTTTTGCTGTTGTGAATAGTGCAGCAATGAGCATATGAATGCATGTGTCTTTTTGGTAGAATGATTTTGTGTGTGTGTGTGTGTGTGTGTTTGTATACAGAGCACTGGAATTTCTGGGTCAAATGATATCTCTGTTTAAGTATTTTAAGAACTCTGCAGACTACTTTCCATAGTGACTGGGCTAATTTACATTCCCAACAGCGTATAAGAATTCCCTTTTCTCTCCAGCTTCACCAGCATCTGGTGTTTTTTTTTTTTTTAATTATAGCCATAGTTACTGGTATAAAATGGTCTCTCATTGTGGCTCTGGTTCGCATTTCTCTGATGATTGGTGATGCTGAGTACTGTTTCTTGTTTGTTGGCCACTTGTATGCCTTCACAGATGTGTCTTTTCATTGTTCATGTACTTTCTGCATTTTTTAATGGGGTTAATTTTATGCTTGTTGATTTATTTAACTTCCCTACAGATTGTGGACATTTAATCTTTGTCAGATGCATGCTGTGCAAATACTATTTCCTATTTTGTAGGTTGGTTGTTTCCTCATTGAGAGTTTTTTTTTCTGTGCAGAAGCTCTTTCATTTAATTAGGTGTCTCTTGTCAATTTTGTTTTGTTGCTATTGTTACTCCTCAGGTAGAAGAATAAGTGTATAGGTTCTCTCATGGATATTGAAATGTTTGCTCTCTGAGGCACATCAAAAGAGAGTTCATATATATGAAGAATGGTAAATGGAATCTAGACTTCCTGCTGAACCAGGAGTACCATGCCTCTCATTTATTTATTTACATCATCATTGTAAGGGAGATATGGAATATGTAAGAAGTTTGTTGTATGCATGATACTTAGAGAAACAGATATGGGAGGTGAAAAAGTAGATATGATTTGGTCTTGATTCCTCAGTTAAGCCAACAAATTCCTGTGATGCTATTTGGACAGACACTGAATGACTGAATGGAGAGAGACAAAGAGATGAGAGAGAGAGAGAGAGAGAGAGAGAGAGAGAGAGAGAGAGACGAACTTGTCATGAAAGAGTTTGTAAAACCAATGGACATGCATTGGTGCCTATAGGACCTAGTGATGGAGTGTGACTCAGACCTGTGTAGAAGGGCTGTCTCTTCATTCCATTGATGAACACAATGTGTGGCAGGGATGCAGCAATGTCTCTTGTTCTCTTTGGCATCCTAAAGGTCTTGTATGTTTCAGATTTTGTGGCATGGAGCTTTCCTAGGGAGAATCCCAACCACAGTTGATTCCCATTTGGTCTCAGAAGCTGGGACAAATCAGGAATGATTGTTACTGTGACTGTAGCCTCCCAGTACAAGTCTTGGTTTCTCTTCTTTCTGTCCTTCAATCCAGACTGGCTTTCAGAAACACACACAGAAATACTACATGATCTCACTTATATTTTGGGTCTAAAAATTAGTGGAATAGATAGAAACAGAGAGGAAAATGGTGGTTACTAGCAGTGGGGAGGGAGAGAAAGAGTTTAGGTCAAATGGTACAAACTTGAAGTTATGCAGGATGAGTAAGTCTAGATAGCTAATGAAGACTATGGTTAATACTATTGTATTATATATTGAAATTTTGCTAAGACAGTGGGTTTTAAGTGTTCTTCGTATAAAAATCATAACTGGAACATGCTGTATAAGTTGAGTTTGGTAATCATTTCAATATGTATATGGATGTCAAACACCATGTTGTATATCTTTAATAAAATAAAACATTGGCACATCTTTAATAAAATCAACAATCATTCAGACTGGCTTGAATTGTTCCTGGAATTATCTAATTAAAATATATTTTGATGATGTCACTTTCCTTAGTATGGTATGTGATTCCATTGGCTAATTCCCTTCTACATCTGACTCTACCTGGAACTTTATGTTCTCTTCATGCTAAATTGAACGCAGTTCTCTGAACAAGTTTTGAAAAGCCAGTCCTCGTGACATTAGGTCCAATAGCTTGTATCTTTAATGCATTGTTCTCTATTCTCATCAAGTTCTTTCACTGCATGAATCCCCAACACTCCCTTTTCTCAGTGTAAACATCAGGTATCATCTACACAAGGAAGCATGCTGAATGTGCTTGTTCAACATTATCTTTCTATTACACTCTCATACATCCCACTATTTCTAATAATAACGTGTGTCATCGAGATGTATTGCAACAAGCTCTTTTCTGTATGGCTCCACAGACTATTATCTGTTACCATCAGTGGCTTGCTCTTTTCCTCTTCACATGCCCAGATGTTACACTTGAGCACCTGTTCTACATTCAACCTATTCATAGCTCAAAGCATGTTTACTTATTCTCAGCCCATTGAATTTAAAACTGTATATTTACTTTCAGGAAAATGTCATTTCCAAGAATGTACACCAACTACCCTGTCTGGATTGCTATACAGCATATACGTGCATTAATATATCAAATTGGCTGGTCCGAGTGCAGTGGTGTTTACAACTAATTGATCACAACCAGTTACAGGTTTCTTCGTTCCTTCTGCACTCCCACTGCTTCATCTGACTAGCCTATACATATCAAAATATATATCACAACAAATATAAATAAAAATATATATCAAAATGTGTCAAATAATTTATCTATTAAATACATGTGGAAAAACTCAAATACTTTTAACATTCAAAAAAATTAAAATGAATGAATACCTCTTTTCCCATATAGGTGGTATAATTTATTCATTTAGTAGAAACAAGAAATTTGAGAACATTTAAAGCATTCGACTGAATAAAAATTTATTCAATTACTAAATATTTTCTAAATATTAATAAAACAAAGAGAGTAGTTATATCATTTTATCATCTGATTTAATAGGAGAAAATCACTTTATAATTTAATGAGCATTTCCAAATGAAACGAAACAATTTGAACATGTATAATACCTAAAATATGTTAAAAGATAGCTCCCATGTATGTGATAGCTTAGTAATTTCTACTTATGTATTTTTATTAAATTAACCTTATTCTATTTTAGTGGTTTAAATCTTATTGCCACTATAAATCAAAGTGAGAAAGAAATTCATGAATGCAGACACATTGTTACTGTTGATGCCTAAATAACAACATTCAAATTTCATAAAGTTTAGAAACAAAAACAAATTTGAAATAATGTGAATAAATATGCTTATTTCTTTCTCCACTGTGTTTACCCTTGACATGCCTTGAAACATCTAAATACATAATCAGAACTCATTTCTGAACCTTGGACTAAGGCCATCCTCTGTTATTAGTGACTTAGCCTAAAATGTCCAAAGTCTCAGTGGACATTCCCTAGTGAATACCAGCAAAACAACTGTTAATCTCATTCTACAGGTAAAGAAGGACAGGATGCATGGTCGCTACTGAATCCCCAAGAAGGTCTCTGAAATCTCATGTGTAGGGATGATGAGTGAATATATACATTTCTTTAAAAAACATTCTTAATGCTTACTCAGAAAAATGACTTTGTTCCTATGATGACTGTAGGACTGCTGTCAGCTAAGCAAGGCATGAGTGAAAATGAGGAAATAAGAAAGGTACTAATTATAATTGTATTTTTAAATT